AAATTTCATATCGCTCAATGAACACAATCATGATGTCAAAATAAATCTTACTCGTATCATCAACAAGAGACATTGACCATTAAATTTAATGTGAAAAAGTAATATCGAAAAATACTCTTATTGAAGAGCTAAATCATAAAAACTCGACAAAAATGTTTATCTTCAATTGTTCATTATTTCGATTTACAAAAAAGTCTGAACAAATGAATATTAAAAGAGATATAAGGAAAATTTTGAGTGACCTAGTTTCCCTAGGACATCCAGTATCACTACAACTTATGATATATTTACCGTGAACAATAAACAAAGTCTAAAACTTAGATATTGTATCAGAAAAGAAGTAATGCTTTTTTTCTACAGTATAATCTGAGCAAATTTCTATTCTTAGTTAGTTGATGATCTAAATGTGAACGTACATTGTAGCGAAGTAAATAATATCACTCATCTTTCTGATACAACTGTTATGTTTTGAACTTTATTCTTTGTTCAAGATGAATATATCAGAAGATGTAGCGCATTTTGCCATTTCTCCTTATATTTAATATGCTTAAAACTACACAAAGTATGCTAATAAAAATGCAAAGACAGCAAGGGCGAGGGAAATTAATTGGTTCTCACGGTAGTTAAGCATGAAAATAAATAATTTTGATGATTGGTATTTCTATACATAAGTAAGAATCAATTATCAAAATTATCTATAGGAAAAATTTTACATGAGAAATATGAACTATAATAAAACTATTTCTTCAGATATCTTCTAAGCTTCTCGAAATCTATTATACATAAATGATTTTAACTCGATAAATAGTATCAACAGTACTTTTATTTCCATGCATGAGAATAGAGGAGTAAATATTAAAATATAAGTTGCAAATTTCTTTAAAACTTCAAGATCTCTATCTCAAATATTTCTACGAATAAGTATTTGTTTTTTGGCCTTAATATAGAAATAAAAACGTGTTGAAACTGTCGCGACCAATCCGATAGGTTCTACTAGACATACTCTCTTATAAATTCTCTACATATATTTCATTGAAATGTCCTACCAATTAATTGATTTAAATTTTCTTTGGTAAAAAGTTCTTCTAATAAGTTCTCTGGAAAACAATTAATAATTGCCAATGGTGCAAGTACATCGACTAGACGTTCGGGTTTATTGTTAAATTGATTCATTTGATGATAAGTATGAATTAATTCGAGATATTTAAAATTTTGTTTTCGTATATAACCCATATAAATAAGTGTATTCATTATTTGAATAATATCTTTAGCTCGATATAATGGTCTGGATGAATTTGATTCTAATTCAATTAATTTTAAACAATTTTGAAAAAATTGATTTGAATAATAATGAAATATAGAAAAATAAATTCCAATACGCATTGTCATACGAACAATTTCATAACTAAATGAATATAAATTTGTTTGTATATGTTGTTCAAATGATTGATTAAATCGATTTGCTAATGATTGAGCTATATTAATTTTTCCATAATTTGATAATGTTAAAATTTTAATAAAATTTTGTTTATCAACAGCTGAAAGAAATTTTTTCTTTTCATCATTAATTATATATTGAGCAATATATTCAAGTAAATTTATATTTTTTAATGATATTTGTAAACGATACATTGCTGAACAAAGAAGACTAAGATCAAATAATGAAATCATTTTTATTTGATTTTGTGTTAAATTTAATTCTAAATAATTAATAAATTTTTGTAATATTTCATTAGGAATTTTTGTTTTTTGATCATAATATTTTTGTTGATGAAGAACAAATAAATTAATAAGTTCAATAAATAAATTTGAATAAAAATTATTATTTATTGGTAATATACATTCAATTAAACGTTTTGTTAATAAATTAAGTTTAATATTATGTTCATATGCAAAAAATAATATATCATTAAGTTGTTCAATAGATATTTTTTGTGAGAAATTTTCATATTGATTTATAGAATTTAAATTATTTAAATAATTAATAATAGATGAAGTTTTTAATATAGATTCAAGATTTTTACGAATATGATTTAACATTTGTTTTTTATTATCATTAAAGATTTTAAGACGACGTGTATAAAAATAATCAAATGTTTTTCGATCAAAATTTTTTACTATTAATCGATTATTATTACTACTTAAACAACGAGTAAAAAATGATGGAAATAATAACCATCGAGAATAATTAATAATAGAATTTTGAATCATTTATCTAGAATAATAAACAATATAAACATCGTTGTAATCAACTATCTTTCAAAAAAAGCCTATCATAGAATTTTTCCTACAGATGTATCTATACATTAAGAAAACTAAATCATCTAATTTATAATCAAAAACTAATTCTTTCTTAATGATTTTCGATTAAACTTTAAAGTCTACACCTGTTCTTATACACCTAAAGCATTTATAGATTTTAATTATTATTAGAAACATAGCATTCATAAGATTTTATTTGTATCAGATAATATGATGGTCGACCGATATTATCTACTCAAACATGATGTTTAATAAAATGTGACCTATCAATTATATATTTCTCTTGTACTAATAATATATTTTATCTGAAGTTAAAAAATAAAAACAAAAATTATTTTCATTTTTATATTGAGATCTAATATTTAACATAGTTTTCATCTCTTTTTAAACATTAAATCCTTATTAGGTTGAACTATTATAATTATTTCATTGATTATAAAAGTTTTGATCGTATTAATAATTGTATTAATGTTGATGTTTGTTTAAATTTGCAAAATGAATTTTGTTATAGTACTAAAAAACAATCGTGTTAACTGTAAGTTAATTTTCATCAATAATTTAATCATAGATAAAATAGTGTCAATGTTTGAGGTATTTTGCATTAGTCTATTAATTTGAGAAAGTTTAAATTCGTTTTTTAAAAGTAAATACTTATTCAAATTTTATTGATCGACTTAATATAGTGTTCAAAGAAATCATGATGAGTAATAATAAAAAAGCAAAGCATTAATTGGACGAATTTATTACTACATATCCAATAGAAATCCTACAAATGCTAAATACTATGAAAAAAAAATTATATGAAAGATAAAAAAAACGTACAATATTTATCTAATTGATTTTCGATTTTATTTTGTGACAAGGACATATATATCAAATTATTGTCTTAATACATCATTTCAAAGATATTTATTTTTTTTACCTAACAAATATAGATTTATAGTTAGCTCATTATAGCTTCCATTGGATTAAAGCATAATTTTATATTATCATGATTCAGTTCATGTATTTTAGTTTCATCGTCAAACATAAGAAAAAATATCTAATGGATGATATTTCTACTAATAGGAAGTCAGTATTACAGAACCATCTATGAAGAGGGCATACGTAGCGCATGTAATCATCTAAAATAGCAATAAAATTATTTGTGAATTAAATATTACTATAATTAATATTCTATAAACTGATACAAAACAAAATGATCGAAAGAAGTCAATAATTGAAATAACAAGTGTGTATATGTCCCAGGCAAAATTAAACTTTAGGCAAAATTAAACTTAGGTAAAATTAGTTTTAGTAGGCGCGAAAAAGGAAAATTTTTTTTATTGATTGTTGATCTGACTATCAATAGAAAAAAATAATTATTCGTTTGCATAAACTGTAAATAAAAAAGCAGAACATTCACTTTCACATATGTAATCGTATCATAAGTACAGTGATGACTTCTCATTCAACATCAGAAATTGAATCTCGAAAACAATTTTATGAACAAGCAAGTAAACATCTTTAATCTTTCAATAGTAGATTTAGAGAAAAGATTGTACTCATGCAAGGCATGAATGAAAAGAT